CCCCGCCACGCCCCGCCGGCACTCGGGCCACAGCCTTTGAATGGCGAAGCAGACGCCGGCGGGGAGGGAGAGATGAAAAAAAAGAGGGGGAAATTTGAAAAAAGGAGAAGAAAAACAATCAAAAGGAATAAAGAGAACTTTTTATGTAAAGCTGCAGCGGCACGGTGCAGGATGCTGGGAGGAAGCAGAGGAGGAGAGGAGGGGAGGGGGCTTTTGCTCGGGTTTCGCTCCTGCTGGTAGCTCGCAGCACGACTGCACTCAACTTGCGCCGGGCTCCTGGCCGACGGAGCGGCGGTGTAGTCGGAAATGTTTTTCACGCGCAAGTGCACTTTTAAGAAGGTCTCCTTATCCTGGGTCTCTCTCTCGCTCCCTCTCTCAACAGTTCCATACATACAACTTTTGCAAAGCTCCTCTATTCCCCGTTATGATCATCGTGCATACTGATGCGTGATGTATACGAGTGAGCGTCGCAGCTCGACTCGTTTATTCGTATGGGAATAAAGTTTTTAAACAAAAAAAAATCGTTGATTTTGTGGGATAATAGGCCGGAAATATTTTTTGTGTTGGTTCAAGAAAATCTTTCTGAAAGTGTCCTTTCCTCCTGCTTGCAGTGGTAGTGGCGCTGGTGGTGCCCAACCTCCGGCCCGTGCTGGCGCTGGTCGGCGCCGTGGGCTTCTCCACGCTGGGCCTGCTGTTCCCGGCCCTGGTCGACCTGGTGGTGCACTGGCGCTCCGCCTCGGCGCTGCGCGTCACCAAGGACGTCCTCATCATGCTCTTCTGGCTCGTCGCGCTCCTGGCCGGCACCTACAGCGCCCTGCTCGAGATCATGGACACCTACTTCACCGAGCCACAGGCGGCGTGACACTGGCTCTTTTTTATACTTCGTGTTTTATATATTTTACCTTTTAATATTATATTTCGTGTTTTATATACTTTACCTTTTAATATAACATTATTATTTTTACAAAAAATACACTTTTCTTTCAAAACTGAAAGTGTTTTTTTTTTTTTACCTTTGGTTGGAGACAGTCACGTCACAAGGAAGTGTCTAAACCGAGCTTTCTGTGGCCTGGCCCTTATTGCAGAGGTAGAACTGCCCTCTGGTAGAGACAGTCTTGGGGACTGTCGTAAGATCTCACCCAGTGTCGCACAAAACAGAATTGAGTCGGGCACGCAGCATTCATTCCTTTGGCTAGCACGACGTCGTCGCCGGCCGGGGCCGGGGGCGCCGGGCGTCCAACGGAGCGCCTGCGATACTCGGCGTAGGCAACACGATGCACTCGCCTGCGGAGGTTTGCCTACCCAGCCGGGCGCTCACCCCGCTGCAGACGCTCTCCAGCCGGCCGGGGCCGGGGGGCTCCGCGACTCACTCGGCTGCAGACCCCCACGGCCGCCGGGGCTGTCTGTAAATAATAACCGGCACAGCGCCTCCCCCGCACCCGCCCGGCTGTCTGCGAATAAATTAGCGAGAGAGCTGAGCCTATTCGCCCGCAGCATTCCCCCCGCCCGCCGCCTTCCCTTTCCCCACCCTTTCGCCACCAGCGATATGGGTGATGAGCAGCCCGGATGGAGCGAGGGGAAGGGGTGAAGCGC